CTAAAAGTTTTATGGAGTAGTTTTAATTTTAGCTGAGCTACTTTTTATTGAATTTTGTTTAGCTAATGATATATGGTGCCCATTTAGTGCCGACTATCAGCTTTTTTTGTTAGCCACGCTTATTTAACTTCACAACTTCTGCAAAAAAATTTTTTTTTTAATTATGCACCAAAAAAACTAACAAATTGAAAGTAATTGTGTAATACACAATTGAAATTAAAAAAAACTTTTCTAAACCGCCTACCAATGGCAACACATGCAATCAACATCTTCCAATTTTGTCCTCTCCATGCATAGTTTAACTTTAAAGCTAGACCATTTTTAAAACATTCTTAGTTAATTAAAAATGCAATCTTCTTCGTCTTTAAATCCGAATTGTCTTAAATAATTAACTGCAAAAATAAACAATCTGGCGAAAATAAAAGTTACTTTTGCTTAGACTTAAATTAGTATAAAATCTCATTTACTAAAAACTTTCAAAGAGTATTTTGTTCAAAGTACATAATTTGTATAATAATAGAATACAAAGTACATATACAGATCATAAAAAAAAATTTCCCTTATGTTTAAAGTATTTTCTTGTCTGTTAATTTTTCTTCTTAAATACTTAAATTCTCTCTTAGTTTTAGTGGCATTAGCACTCTGTCAGGCAAATTGTTAATTGAAATATCTTTGTTCAATTGACATATCTAATTATGCTCAAAATTTAATTTGATATGTTTTCTAGTTCAACAGTTTACACTTCAATGCTTGCCAATCGTGTAAATAATACCTCCATATCTTTACGGAAGATAATTGTATTTTGAAACAATAAACTTAATTATATTCTTAAGAAACTATACAGCAAATAACATATAACATTAAGAACTTATGAAAGTAAATATTACATTTTATTAATAAAGCAAACAAAATTAAATGCAGAAGGGCAACATTTTTAATGATAAAACTTTTTATTTGCTGATGGATTCATAATAATTTTATGAAACATGGAATTTGCTGGCGTGTGTTTTTAATATCTGGCACTGACACAAAACAATTCTTGTTAACGTTTGAAATACAGACTGCACTTTAAAATAAACAAATTCATATTAAAACAATACTTCTCCAATGTATGCAAATATTTTTTTTTAATAATTTTATTTTCTGAATATTAATATTAATACAACTTTCAAAAATAATATCATCTATAAAAACATTGTATTACCTTAGTCTATTTGGTAAATCTTAAAAGACGTTTATATAATGAATCAGGGCTGCAGAGTCGGAGTTGGAATTGCTAAACAAAATTGCGACTCCAGCTACCAATAGTAAAAACTTCTCGATATTGCATGTGCATGTACAAAATATTTAACCTTCACAGAATTTTTTATGTATTTGGCAAAAAAATATTAATACTTTTTGCTTAATATTATTAAAATATTGAAAGATTTTTTTAAAAATTTTGCTTTGGAGTCAAAATTGGAGTTGGTGTCGTCCTCTGAAAATTTCAACAATTTCGAGTCCAAGTTAGAGTTGGTATTTTTTTTTACGATTCCACACCCCTTTAATGATTAATAATGAATCATCGGCAACTGTGAAAACTTTAAACTCAAGAATGTTATGTTTTCTTTTAGGTGTTGGTTGGTGTAAGCCTTAATATGTTGATTATTGCATAATAAAATGTTCATTAACTCTCTGACTTTTTGACAGTAACAAATGAAAAATTCCTTAAGAAATTGTAAAATTTAAACCTATGAGTAAAGATTTCCAATCATCAGACAAAAAGATTTTTGAATTTAAACTTACTATTTAATACATTTTGTTCGTTCAACTTCTCAGAGCAATCAATGTACTTCTGCAAATAGTTTGGAGGTATACGTAAATCCCAAGGTTTATTAAGATATTTTAAAATTTTATATGAAGTTGAGGATAAATCATTACTCAAATAATTTGATGAGTCATCTACACCAAGATACGCAAAAAAATTTGTCACTTATGAATTATGCTACTGTGAATAAATAAACAAGAAAATATTTTGTTATTTTAATACTTATTACTGTATGATATTTCAAATGTTTGATTTATTTAATAAAAAAGAAGTTTTAAATGTCACATAGTAAAATTTAATTATACAAAAAAAAATCTATACCCTACCATTTAAGGTATTTAACTAAAATGGTATTTGTAATTTTTGTTCAAGTATTCAAACAATCAAATGGGTCACCCCAGCCTACTAATTTATAAGTATAACAGCTTATGTATACTTAGTCCAATGGTCAGTTATATTTACAAAGTTGTAACATCTTAAAAAATAATTTAATGATTGCCTTAATTATTGCATTGATAATTTAGATTGTAGTAAAATGTTATAACCCAGCGGGCATTTTGACGTCCTAAGGACGTCCGTTAGACGTCTTAAGTCTCGTCCGTAAGACATCCTTAGTTGGTCTCAAATGAAAGGCTTGAGGACGTCCATTCCGGACGTCCTAAATACGTTTTTTAAAGACGTTCTAGAGACGTCTCTGGCTGGTCTCATATGAATGACTTAAGGACGTCTTTTTCAGACGTCCTAGAGACGTTTGAATTTTACCAAGACATTCTTTTAAAAGTTATATAAAAAAGCAATGATTTACAACACACACCTTAGATTTGCCTTAATCTAGGCAAGGAAAGTTAATGTAAATAAAGTGTAATTATATATATTTAAAATAAATTAATAACTTTATAAAAATTAAGAATAATTTTTCAAACAAAAAAGTTACATTTTTCAAATTAAAAACAAATAGGTACTGTAGAATATAATCGATAGTGCATTATAAATAGAAGAAAATTGCTTAAAAATGGAAAAAAATACAACAGTTAACTAAGCCAACATTGATCGAAATCCATATTAGTCGATGTTTTCTTTATTCGGTCAGAAGAATGCCTAACTACTCTCCCAATAAGTTGGATAGCATCCATTTTGGTTAAGTTTTTATTTGACTTTAAAGCAGCTTCTAATAAAAACAACAAAACATGTTTCAATAAAATCATAAAATAAAATATATATGTCATACTTGAATACATGTCATGTTCCAGAGCCAAAAAACTTTTTTTTTTTTTTTTTTTAAAACATCATTTTTAATTTTTAATTAATCAAACACATTAATAAGCTAATAAGAATACCAGTGACAGCGTTACATAGACTTGTCAACTCTTTAAACTTTTTTTTCTTCTTTAGACAATTCATGCTGTATTCTGACAAAATAGTGTCTGTTGGCAGTCTACATATATAAAAAAGAAGATAAATGCTCTACTGTCAATCATAAATGTTAAAACTCAAACTTTTGCTAATTACTTACAAGAGCAAAATATTTTTAATTGTATCAGCTAGATTTTTATCGCCAATTAATGATAACTGTTTTATCTAAAAAGAAACAATGTATAAGAAACATTGAAAATGTTTATGACAATTTAAAATAAATATTGTAATAATATATATCATACAAACTTTAAAGATGAAACTCATGTATACAAAAGTGATGTATTGGATATCTCTATTTGCAAATTTTTTTTTTCAAAACATTAAGTTTATCTGAACTTTTACGTTGTTTAAAACCTTCTTCTGGATTATTAGAGAACAGTGCAGTTCTATCTACTAAAATTTTTTTTCATTTCAGCAAGTTAGAATATAAATTTTTTCTGAAACTTTGAAAAATAAAATATATAAGTAAAGCCATATAAATAGTATATAAAGTAGTAAATAGTAATTCCTATATATGGTTGAGAAGAGGTAGATTTAAACTGAATAATGCTTAACATTATAAGAATATATATGTATATATATATATATATATATATATATATATATATATATATATATATATATATATATATATATATATATATATATATATATATATATATATATATATATATATATATATATATATATATATATATATATATGTATATATATATATATATATATATGTTGATATATATATACACATATATATAATATATATATATATATATATATATATATATATATATATATATATATATATATATATATATATATATATATATATGCTAAGATTTGTAATATCTTTGCTGTAGAAATAGGTAAATGAATAAATAAATTGTATATATTTTGTTGTTCCTGTGTTGTTTCGTTCAATTTTATGATCTTTCCATCTCTGGTTGTATAAATAATTATTAAGATTATTTCTTATGTTGACACCAAGTTACTGTGTGGTTTAATTTAATTTGATGTATTATTATTTATATATACATGATTTATACATTAATGTTTATATGATGCATACATATTCATTATATATATATATATATATATATATATATATATATATATATATATATATATATATATATATATATATATATATATATATATATATATATATATATATACATATATTATAATATAGATATATATACATATATTATATATAGATATTACAAATCTTAGCATATATATATATATATATATATATATATATATATATATATATATATATATATATATATATATATATATATATATATATATATACATATATATATGTATATATATATATATATATATATATATATATATATATATATATATATATAAACGTTCTAAAGACATTTTTTGCAGATGTTTTAGAGATGTCTCTGACTGGTGTCATATGAATGACTTAAGGACGTCTTATTCAGACGTCCTAGAGACGTCTGAATATTACCAAGACATTCTTTTAAAAGTTATATAAAAACGCAATAAATTACAACACACACCTTAGATTTTCCTTAATTTAGGCAAGGGAAGTTATAAAAAGAAATCTATGTAAATAAAGTGTAATTTGATATATTTAAAATAAATTAATTACTTTACAAAAAATAAGAATAATTTTTCAAATAAAATTACCCTTTCCAAATTAAAAACTATTAGGTACTGTAGAATATAATCGATAGTGCATTATAAATAGAAGAAAATTGCTGAAAAATGGAAAATAAATAAAAAATACAACAGCTAATTAAGCCGATCATTGATCGATATTCATATTAGTGGATGTTTTCTTTAATCGGTCAGAAGAATTCCTAATTACTCTCCCAATAAGTTGGATGGATGGCATCCATTTTGTTTTTATTTGACTTTAAAGCAGTTTCTAATAAAAACAACAAGACATATTTCAATAAGATCATAAAATAAAATATACTTGAATACATGTCAGGTTCCATAGCCAAAGAATAAAAAAAAATATATATATTTTATTAAAACATCATTTTTAATTTTAAAAGTTATTCAAACACATTAATAAGCAAATAAGAATACCAGCATTACATAGACTTGTCAAATCTTTAAACTTTTTTTTCTTCTTTAGACCATTCATGCTGTATTCGGACAAAATAGTGTCTGTTGGTAGTCTACATATATAAAAAAGATGATAAATAATGTACGGTCAATCATAAATGTTAAAATTCAAAATTTTGCTAATTACTTACAAGAGCAAAATATTTTTAATTGTATCTACTCGATTTTTTACCGCTTATTAATGATAACTGTTTTACCTAAAAAGAAACAATGTGAAAGAAACATTGAAAATGTTTATGACAATTCAAAAGAAATATTGTAACAATATATAACATATAAACTATAAAGATAAAACTGACTAATACAAAAGCGATGTATTGGATATCTATATTTGCAATTTTTCTTTTCAAAACATTAAGTTCATCTGAAATTTTATGTTGTGTAAAACCTTCATCTGGATCATTAGAGAACTGTGCAGTTATATCTACTAAAATGTTGTTAATTTCAGCAAATTGGAATGAAACTTTTTTTTGAAACTCTGAAAAGTAAAATATATAAGTTAAGCAATATAAACAGTACATAAAATAGTAAATAGTACTTCTTATATATGGTTGAAAAGAGGTAGATTTAAACTTAATAATGCAAAAAATTTCAAATTTCATGCTTAACCTTAAAAAAATATATAAACAAGTAAAGTTCAAGAAAATAATAAGATTTTTGTCTAACGCTAAAAACTGTAAAGAATCGCTACTTTATATATATATATATAAAGTAGCGATTCTTTACAGTTTTTAGCGTTAGACAAAAATCTTATTATTTTCTTGAACTTTACTTGTTATTATTTTCTTGAACTTTACTATATCTATATCTATATATATATCTATCTATCTATCTATATATATATATATATATATATATATATATATATATATATATATATATATATATATATATATATATATATATATATATATATATATATATATATATATATATACATGTATATACATATATATATATATATATATATATATATATATATATATATATATATATATATATATATATATATATATATATATATATATATATATATATATATACATGTATATACATATATATATATATATATATATATATATATATATATATATATATATATATATATATATATATATATATATATATATATATATATATATATATATATATATATATATATATATATATATATATATATATATATATATATATATTATATATATATATATATATATATATATATATATATATATATATATATATATATATATATACATTTATCAAACATAGGTCATCCTAGTCATATTTTAAAAATCTGGAAAGTTGGTTGAATAAAATATCCGGAAAAATTGCAAAATTTGTCTTCCCTTATTTTCTTTTTAGTTTCGCTTTTAGATAAGTTGCTTTTACTTTTTTTTTGACACTTTTCATAATTTTTCTATGATTGATGAGTGAAAAAGATTAAAAAACAAATATATTACAAAAATATATACCTCAAATTGCATATATTGAAAATGTTTTGAATATCCTGAAAAACTAATAGTTGAAAAGTTTAGCGTTGCAACAGCATCTAACATCAAATATCCAATACTCAGCAGAATCAAATCGATGGAGAAAATTTTTTTTTTTCCTTTCAGAGTTGTATTTCGAATAGTATACCACATTTATCAATACACACACATGCACAAGCATACACATACACACACACACACGCATACACACACATACATATATATATATATATATATATATATATATATATATATATATATATATATATATATATATATATATATATTATATATATATATATATATATATATATATATATATATATATATATATATATATATATATATATATATATATATATATATGTATATGTATATGTGTGTATATATATATATATATATATATATATATATTATATATATATATATATATATATATATATATATATATATATATATATATATATATATACATATATATACATATATATATATATAATGAATATGTATACATTATGTAAACATTATAATATAATGTATAAATCATGTATAAATAATTATATATACATCCCACAATGGAACAATTATTAAATTAAACGAAACAATACAGTAACGAGGTATCAACATAAGTAAAAATCTTAAAATTGTATATACAACCCATCAAACTCATCAAACCCATCAAAGGAAAAATCATCATATTGAATGAAACAACACGTGAACAACAAAATATATACAATTTATTTATTTACTTATTTTTACAGCAAGATATTACAAATCTTTGCATATATGTATATGTATATATATATATATATATATATATATATATATATATATATATATATATATATATATATATATATACATTATAATTGTAACTTAGTTACACTTAATAACTAAACTAAATTTTCTTTAATTTAAAAATTGTATAGATTATAGTTTATAGATCATAGAGTATAGAATATAGAAAATTGAAAAATATTTTTAAACGATAAATAACTAAACAAAATTAATAATATCATTATTAAGATCAACCAAAACAAGTAGACATTTTTAATTAACCGAGTTAGCGCATAATATTGTATGCGCCAAGTTGTTAATATAAATTTTTTAACTTATTTTTAAGGTAATTAGGACGTCTAATGTAGGTCTTAGCGACGTCAATAGGACGTCTAAATATGGAAATACTAATATCGTCTTTATATTAACGTCACTTTGACGTCCTAACTAAGACGTCTCTACCGGACGTCTTTAGGACGTCCTAATTTGTTCTGAGACGTCGCGACCTAGTTAAGACGTCCGTAAGACATCTGATTGACGTCTGTGCCCGCTGGGTAAGTACAATATTTAAATGTTAATTAATGCTTTATTATTAAAAAAACTTCAACATTAAATCAAAAGAACTTTTAAGATGACTTCTTATGATTTAAGTTTCAAAGGTTCTTAGAAGAATAATAAATATTGTCTAATTTGTTTATTTTCATAATTCAAAAAAAAGGAATGATAATATCAATATATATTTTTTTTGTAATATGATAGCTTTTTTTAAGAATGTTATGCAACAAGTTTTGAAAATATACCAAAAAAATAAACCGCAACTACATTGGCCAAATATTTGCTCAATAGAGCTACGGCATTAGTGTTGTAATCGATTTTTAGAGCAAAATATTGAGCCGATACTAAATTGGCCAAATGATGTCCCAATATAGTACAATATTTGTGGAAAAAAGATTTAGAGTATTGAAATATTGCACAAAAAAAAAATATTGGGTAAATATTGACCCAACTTAATAACTTTGCCCGTTTTGAATCTGACATTGGGCTAATGTAGGCTTGCTATCTGGGAAATATCGCAGAAAAGGGTAATCGTCAAAAAATTACCATTCACATTTTGATATTCAATATTGTTCTAACATTTGCACAGTGGGCAAAAATGCTTAAATTTGTGACAAAACTATTTTTTATGTAATTATGTTTAGGATAACTTTACAAAACACAGGTATATTAAAAAAATTTTTAATATTTTACTAAAAAAAATTTGACTAAAATTTAAAGTTTTTGAAGTTTTACAAAAAAATATAAAACTTAAACAAATATTTTTAAAATTAAAAACTCCTACTGTAAAAAAGTTAAAATATACATTGTATATGCTAACAGAGAAAATGCGAGCAACATTGTAAATAAATACTAATAAAACAACAAGTATGAAAATTTGACATAAAGTAACACATAGAGAAGTGATGCAGAAACAATATTAATAAGCTTAAAAAAATCAAATATTACAATCAAATAGTTCTATTGTTCCAGAGGAAATGCAGATGTTACATATCATACTGTTTTTTTCACGGAGGATGTAACAGAGTCTGATGTACAAAGTAATCAGTGTAAAACATCTTGATAGTTTGTTTTTCTATCATATTTTCTTGAATGATTCAGACAATACCGTTTTAAGTCCTTGTTCTGAGCATCTTGGGCCTCTTCACTCATTAACTCAATAGGCAACACCATTCTTCCAATCACATTATGCCTATGAACTAGCAGTTTGTGTAAACTTTGTGGCATGTAGTACCACTCATAATGTTGAACATACAGCCGTGCTGTGTTTAAACAAAATACTTTAAAACGTTCAACATGGATTTCATAACTGCTAGAAATGCAAGCCAATATAATATGCAAGATTTTTATTAACTGTAGATTGAGGCCAGTGGTTTCAATGGCCTCAATATTCAATTAATTTTCCTCAATCTTCAATTAATATTCACTGGAAAAAGAGTATTCCAAAATTTTCATTATATTGGAATGCTCTTCTTCCAGTGTTTCCATCATTAGAATTGATGCTCCACCGGATCGAGGTTTGTCTACTACAAACCCTTTTTTTCTTCAAACTTTTGCTGTACTTTATTTTTTTTTGCTTTTTTACTTTCTGTTTTTCTTCAACTGATCTTGCCTGCCATTTCTGAATAGGTAATTTGTATCTGATATGTAGCAGACGCTCAAAAGTTCTTATCTATGAGTGCAGAGAGGACAAGCCATACTACAAATCTTGCCTAGTGTGCTTTCTTGCAACTGCATTATCAATATTGTTATATCTGATGGTTTACAACCACAAACAGAGCACGACTGACTTCCATCAGTAACGTGAGATAAAGCAGTGTGAACTTTATCATCAATTATAGTAGTGTAAATTAAATGTTCAACAAAAACATTTTTGCTATCACTCACAACCACTTCAGTTGTAAGAAGTTCATCAATTTCATTTTTTAAACGTATTTCTTCTGAAACAATTTTTTCTTTACTCTCTTTTTTAAACAAAAATCTAAGTGGACGACAATACAATGTGGATAATGGTTTACTATTGCGCCATAAAATTGTTTTACACCACCTGAGACACAGCTTAGCCTAAGTGGAACAAAACATGTAAGGAAGAGAGGATTTTCTTTTTTTATATCATGAATTTTACTCTTGCCGCTTATAGACTGTTTGTATACACTTTGTCAAGTTGAGCCATCAAATCCAGCTTTATAAGCATAATTGCTTGTAAAACATCTATATTTCTATATGTAAAACATAATGTAAAACATCTGTATTTCTGTATGTAAAACATAATGTAAAACATCTATATTTCTGTATGTAAAACATAATGTAAAACATCTATATTTTGGTAAATATATTGCTTTCTGTCGTTGTTTGTTGTTATAATGCATGATAGCTGTATTAAAATTAATGCTCATAATAATTTCTTTTTGAATATTACAAAGTCTTTTATGGAATAATCATTCACGTAAATTCCATCTGAATAACATATTTTCTGTGCAAATCTAACAAGTGTGCTGGATAGAGATTAGAAGAAAGTTCTAGTGCAATATTTCTGTGCAATTGACAAGATGCTTTTGTCATATTAGAATCAATAATTAAGGCTAAAGCTTATTCAGGAGTTAGTTGTTGTGTTATTAGCTTTCCATCGATTATGCTTTTAATTG